CTCCTTTGTAATCATTTTTTTAGCAGCAGTAGCAGGGCTGGACTGAGGTTAGCTGTCGCTCATAGCAGTGTCATTTTAACTGCATGGGTGACGTCCGGCTGCCTTTTGCGGACCGGTAAAGGGCAAATTTAGGAGAGGGGGATGTGGGAATTGAGGTTGGCCCGCTGCCTTTAAGCGGGCTTTCCCGCCTTTTCTGCCGTTCTCATGTCCCGACATGTCTGCCCTCCCTTGCTGTCTGCCGCGCTGAGAGAGCGGAGTGACGTTTAACTCCCTCACCCGGTAGCGGATGTTGACGGTGGCGCCGCGCGCGAGGACTCCCAAGAGAGGTTTTCGCGCGCTGCGTCGGGAGCGGTGAGATACTCTCCGGGACAGCAAACGGTGAGCCACGCTATCTTTTCGTCCGTCGACTCCCGTCAGTCGGGGGCTCGTCGGACTTCGCTGACGGCGCCTCGCGCCCAAGGCGAACGCTCACCCGCTGTTTGCCCCGCTGCGTACGCACGGCCGAAGGGCGGTACGGTGTCCTAGTGCGTGGCCTCGCTACGCCGACCCGTCTCCCTTCGAAGCCAACGCGAGCGCCTTTGCCCTCGCTCGAGCAACCGGGCCTTTGCTCCGGTGTCTCCGTGGATCGGCTTTACCGCGGAGACGTGCTCGTGGCACCCCTGTGTAGTACTTTGTGCCCGTGGCGTGGATAAGCCTACTTGCTTTCCCGCCGCGCCTTTTTGCAACGGGCTGTACTGCGTTTGGTGTTGCCACAATAAAGTGTTGCGACGTTGAGCAGTATCGTGTTTCCCGCCACGGCGACGGTTAACGCGTGCCCTGCGGCTCGCTAAGACCGGACCCACGCTGGTGGCCGTACTCCTTCGGGATACGTGTACACCACAAACTGTGGCTAGTGTGAAGGCTGTTGAAACAGCGCCGCTATAAGCAACCCCCCCCCCCCCCCTCCCCGTCGTCAGGCTCACTCTTAGCGCGGCGCAGTCCTTCCTCTCCTATACCAAGTCCCACTCTCTCCACGTCACAAAGCCTCGTGACCACCGCCACGCCAACGGACGGGTGAGTCTATAATAAGAGCAACTTCGTTGTTGCAAACAATGCCGCACTCGCTTTGAGAACATGCTGGGCGTGTCATCTAACTCGAATGACTGAATGGATATACTTTATTGAAAGATAACTCCAACTAAGATGTTTTCTTTTTAATCAAGATTATTAGGAATGTTTCAACAAATGCATATAAGCGGTAGTTGTGTCTGCAGGTGCACTATATACCACGAGGTTCGAGAAATAGCCTTCACCAGCTCTAGCCTCGATAATCGTCCAAGGCTATAGCCGCGAGGACACAGGACAGAGCTCAAGGCATCCTGGACTAAGGGCGTCTGTCCTTAGCTGTACTTCTAGATGAAGACGTTTATTTTCTCTCGCGCTTTGAACAGCTAATACGTCCTCTTACAGACAGTGTTATGACATATAATTCATTTTCTTTTGTTTGGTAAATAGAGACCCAACGGACAAGCGCTCTTGCTCTCGGCCCTGCGTCTGAATGCAATCAGAAATCGCTCTCGCTTCCTCGCTCGCACTCACACCAGAACGGCATGAACAATTCTGTTGGTATGACTTTCTCGGCAGCAAAATGAATAGCCAGACTCGCTGTAAGCGCGCGTGCCGGCGAGCCCAGCGGGTGGCTGGCGCGCCTAGGGGGTATACACGGGCGGTGGTCTTCTCATTTTCTGCAGCAGCGGTGGGACACCCATGCATAAATGCAGAAAAGCTCGTTCCTTACGCTTTGAAGGTTGTTCTTTCGCCACAAACAGCGAACACGCTTTCTGTGGTAAGGAAACCTAATATAGGGATCATAAGTGTGTCCGGCAGGCCTGTTGCAGGCCCTATATTGCTCGCCATACATAGGAATGTACCCCCGTATGAAGCGCCCGGTGGGTTCCCTTAGCTAATATCCAACAGAAACAATGCTGTACCATGGCTGTGGATGTAAACATTGGGGGGGGGGGGGGGGTATCATAACAATTAGTAAAGCTCGTGCGAGCTGCATTTCGAGGGCAAGATATCGCACATATGTGTATGTACATGTGCGTGTGCTGTCTTGCCGTTTGTTCTTCAAACAAGTAACCTTGTAACTGTAAGCAAGGTGATACACCAGAGGCGATTTTCTCACATCTTCCTTGACTTGCTTGGCTTTCACATTTGGATGAAGCAGTAATGGTAGAGACCATTGTACTGTGCCACGTCAATGAACGTTGGAGAATCTTAAGTGGTTAAAATTATCCGGAGACCTCCACCACGGCATTCCCGATAAGTATATTGTGGTTTTAGCATGTAAAACTTCATAAATTATTATTATTATCATAATCCTAATCATAATTGTTATTACTATTAATACATTGCCTTGTTACCGAAAAGAAGACTTGACGGCTAACGCCACATTGACTCTTTTGACCGACAACCCCTTTACGAAAGGAATTTCTGAGGACCATGGAATAGCAGTGAAAGTGTTTGGCGAGATATAATAAGAGCGCAGTGCTCGCTATCATCGATCGCCATTCCCGGTAACTCTTATTCTGCATTTAACTCGCTTCCTCTCTTTCTCATACATGTAGAGCAGGAGGGGACAGATAAAGCTCCGCCGGCCGAGCTCTCTGCTTATCCCACGAGAAGTGATCTCTATCGAGGAAGAACGACGACGTGGGCGAGTTTGTCTATCTAAATATATCTCTAGTGGTTAGCTTGTTCAGCATATCAGGCACGCTGTACTTCGGATGTCTCATCTCATGCTACTTCTTTGTGGTTTTTTTCCGCACACGTGCAGTTTCTTTGCATGCCGCGTAAGTAAGTACTTGCGGGAAAGAGATGTGTGGTGTTATATTTAACTTGTCTCAGCTACTTTCCTTCAGCTTATGTGCGCTCCCCGCTTCGTACCCAATGGCCCGAGTGCCCCCTTAGCTTCTGGCCAGAGCGAGATAAACGCCGCCTCAAGCAAGAAAGCTGCAGGCCGCTCGGCGTTTTAAGGTGGTGTCCTTCCACACGTGCTGCCATTGTCCAAAACGAAAAGTTCCCATGCCGCAGCGAGCGTGTGACCGAAGACGACTGCGGGGCTGCGCACTGAAGCCCGCATTGTGTCGCCGACGTTCTAGAGTAATTTCGAGCTCGGGAGTCGTGTTGACCCTCGACAACCTCTCTCGGGCCGCGAACGCCGCCGAAGCCCGCACAACCGCATATGCCCAGCGACAGTTCAGGTCACGCTCTCTGGGACCCGCGTGGGTGCATTTGACAAAGGCGACTGGCGTATTGTTCGCCTCGCAAGGAAAAGTAGCACTTAGCGGTAGACGCGATAAAGCGCCCGCGCTGTGCCACGCAGGTATGTCCGAGTTGGTTTACGGCCCGCGCTTCAGCGAGAGGGTGAGGGGGAAGACAAGTGTGGCACGCATAATTGGCACGACAGGGGCCGGACTGGGATCAAGGAAGCATTGTGAAACAACGAGTGGAGTTTTGTGTCTCTGTGGGCGTCCTTGAGTCAGCACCGGGCGTGGCTTGTGGCGCTCGCAGCGCACAAGAGCAGCTGCTCGTGAACGCGCCGGCAACCAGCTGCTGTCGCCGCTGCAGGAGCCGGCGCGAGATCCGGAAATGCGCTGCGACAACTCGCTACCGCCGCTTGTGCCGCGCAGACTTGGAAAGGTTCAATTTGGGCTCGCCGATGCTTCGAAGCACGGCGCGTATCAAAAGTTGAATTCCACTGGCGAACAGCTCCGCACGTGATTTTTTTTTTCCTGATTTTGTTTCATGTCATCGTTATTTAGGTGACGTTCGGTGAGAGGAAAACGAAGGAGAGAATCTTCTAGCCCAAAATCTGTGCAGATACGTGTTCAGAGTTTGTCTGCGTAGTGATGCAATGTGGGCTATTATTGGTACGACTTCATCTTTCAACGCGCTGCCAGGGATTGGAAAATCGACAAAGACCGACGAAACGAAATAATCATACCGGGTGATGAGTGAACTAACAAATGATTTTATTTCGAGCGCGGGAACACTTATGCATGAGATCTGTGTGTCTTTCCGACTATTTCGTTATCTCGGTTCGACGTCTATTCTTTGCAGAGCGTTACGAGATGAATTGCACGTAAGGCGTATTTTTTTTTTTTGCGCATACAAGAAAGGAAAGAGAGAAATGGTAAGAACTAGAGAGGAAGACAGTGCACACATCTTTTCTAGTTTTTATATGATTTATTTTCTTCGTTATTTGCTGAAAATATACATTATGTGGATTACAACCAATTAGCACATTGTCCTGTATTCGAGCTCCTCGTAGTACTCATAAATGCATCCGCAAGTACACGAAGACTACTCACCTAACTACGGATCACGTTAACTTAGACGTCACGACTCCAAGCCGGAATAAAAGAAGTTATAATGGAAAGGAACGCTTATAAAAAAAGAGTAGAAAATAATTACTGAGGGAATTCCCGTTCGCGGTCCAATTACAATGGCATAAGATTGGCTTTTGATGCGCCTCCTCGACAAGACGAGTCAACTATATCCGTAGCCACGACCAAGCTGAGACCGCATAGTAATAAGCTGGAACGCTGCAAGTGTCGCTCGTTTTCCACGCCACTCGCACTGGACTGCTTTTAGTGGAGCACGCGCTTCGCGAGCGCGCGATCCATTCGCAGGTGCAGCTCCGGCAGCCGCCAAAACCCGAAACGGGCGTTTGCTGCTGCTATAAAAAAAAATTAAAAAATCACCGTGCATTATGATCAACTTTACCTGCGAATAATTGTGTGCGCTGAGGGGGCTTTATCGGTGGCGCATCGGTGCCAGCGTATAGTTTAACTCGCCGAAAAAGCGCGGCTTCATCCACGCGAAACCTGGCCGCTGCGCGGATTTCGCGCGCCGCGCTTCGATTGACCAGAGAGGAGGAAGACGAAGGGCTCTAGAAGAGAGGGAAAGGGTTAGCGGTGTGAGAGAGAGGACCCCTCGGCGCGGCGGCTGGCGAAGCGGGCTTGACGGCACTGCAGCAAGCCGCGGGTTCTGTCAAAGATGGCGGAGGGCGATGCGTCGGTCGGCGGAAATGCGGACCTGGGTGAGATCGACCTCACGTGGATGGACAAGCTGCGGAAGATGGTCTCCAGTGACGCCGAATGGGAGGCCATCATCCTGAAGAAGATGGAGGAGAAGAGGAACAGAGGTGACGTCCGATTAATTTTTTTTTTCACGGAGCGCACGGGCCGCGTTGGACTCGGGGCTCGCGTCTGCGGTTTGCGCGTACTGCGGTGTGGGGCGTATGGGGAAAATGAGTTGTTGGAGCGAGGCTGGATAGGCGCAGCTTTATTATTTTGTATTTTTCCTGAAGCGACCATGTTTCCGCGTAAGCAGCTCACGAGAAAGATATAGCGTGCCCCGAAAGGGCGTGCACTGTCGTGTTGGTAAAAACGGGAGCGCATGACGGTAAACGAGAGAGCAAGCGAAAGCAAAGCAAAAACGAGTCGCCACTCCCCCACTTGTCACCTGCGACGACTAGACGTAGACCGCGATCGAAAGCGGAGCGAGAAAGATTTGTAGCGCAATTCCTTTCTCTCGTGACCGCCGTCTCCTTTAATAGACGCCTGATTAATGCCCCGTAGCGCCATGCTAGATATGATACCGTCGCTCTGTGCTGTAAGCGCGATTGTGTCGGCCCAGGTCTTGCTACTGAAGCGAGCATCTTTTAACGCGGTACATTGGCTCGTTTTATCCGCATTGCGCGAAGCTGGGATAACCTTAAACAATATGCCTGCAATCTATGCTTCGTTTTGTCGGCGCGTGCGACTTATCACGCGTTTACGATTTCGTGGCAAGTTTGACAGATAATATTCTTTTCAGCCGACACTGCAGTGCAAAATCATAACATAGGTATGGCAATGGCGGCTGCGCCAGTGCGTACCTAATCAAGCGCATTTGTTTGCAGCTACTACTGCTATCGAGAATCGTATCAGCTGAATTCTTTTGAAGAAGGGGGGGGGGGGGGTTGTCTCGATAATTTCTCTTTGTTCATAACGCTAAACGTTTTTACGTCGGGTTAAGCCGGATACAAACCACGCCATTCTACCAGCCGACCTTGGAACGCGCAATTTTACGGATGCCACGCGGTCCTGCCCGATAATGGAATTCCCCGAAATACGCCGAAATTCCGCTGCGTCATTCGTCCACGAGTGTGAGTGTCACCGACTCTGTGGTTCTGAGAAAGAAGAAAAAAAGGGATTGTGGAGAGCTTCGCCACATATAAATTGTTCTGCAAGACATCGTGAATACCCGAAAGCGTCGCACATAGTGTCGCTTCCTTTTGTGATAAGCAATTTGCCTCGCGTATCCTATCGCTGAACTGCGATGGGTGCATCACTCTGAACCTGTTAATGAAAGCGTTCAAAGTGTGCAGTCATGGCTGGCCTACATTTCTTCTCGGCGGCGCGGTTCGCAGCAGCGCTTTTCTACAAGCCACCGCCCTCCGAGGAACGCGTGTCTTTCCTCGGCGTTTGTTAGTGGCCCCACCGTGCGCAGAATGCATAAAACGGCGCAACGCGCGCACCTCTATAGGCGTGCAACTCGTAATCTGGTCGTTTGTCATTCGTACACGAATGTCGACGAAACTCGCCGTCGGGCCGATTCAAGGCACGCTACATAGTTTCCCGAATGATGTTGGTGCGTCAAGTCGTGGCATTTTGCGCGGCTCGGCGCAATGCATAGCACATGCAGCTGCTCGATATATCGCCACATATTCAGGTCTCTTTCTGTTTCGTTCTTTGATCTATTCATTGATCCTTCATTGGGAGATGTACAGCACGCTGGAGCAGGCGGAGAATACTGTATAAACTCACCGATTTCAGTTACTCCGCTGTACGCGAAAAACTATGTACAGAAATGCAGCTTTCGAAGGTGCGCTGGTGACACGCGCAAATGTACGCGCCGTTTTCCAGTAATTGATATTCTCTTTCGATGTTGCACTTGTTGGTGACCAGCCGTTCCTATAATCTGGCAATCTGATCCGTTATCGAGGTCGCTTGTCACTTGATTGATTGATTGATTGATATGCGGGGTTTAACTTTCCAAAACCACCATGTGATAATGAGAGACGCCGTAGTGAAGGGCTCCAGAAATTTCGACCACCTGGGGTTCTTCAACGTGCACCCAAATCTGAGCACACGGGCCCACAACATTTCCGCCTTCATCGGAAATGCACCCGCCACAGCCGGGATTCGATCCCGCGAGTCAGCAGCCGAGTACCTTAGCCAGTAAAGCACCGCGGCGGGGTCGCTTGTCACTTCCCATTGCCGAATTTCATTATTACCTGGATTATGAATGCATTGTCGTCGTTGTTGCCTGCCCCGCCGCGGTGGTCTAGTGGCTAAGGTACTCGGCTGCTGACCCGCAGGTCGCGGGTTCAAATCCCGGCTGCGGCGGCTGCATTTCCGATGGAGGCGGAAATGCTGTAGGCCCGTGTGCTCAGATTTGGGTGCACGTTATAAAGAACCCCAGGTGGTCTAAATTTCCGGAGCCCTCCACTACGGCGTCTCTCATAATCATATGGTGGTTTTGGGACGTTAAACCCCACAAATCAATCAATCAATCGTTGTTGCCTGCAGAAACTGAAGTGTCTCGCTGCTTAGCGCGTGGATGCAGGTCCGATTCCCGTCATGAAGGAGCGATGCAGTAAGGAAGGTACACCACTCGATGCACTAGGAAGAATGAAAAGTATGCGTCAACCACGTGCACGCTTGTCGTCACCACGTCATGGTGCATGGTTACGGTGCCCAATCGGCGATCCGAAGGCCACGGTATCACACCCCGCCCGCTTTCAGTGAAGGCGAATGTTCCTTTGTGTACTTGCGCACGTTAAAGAACATCAGCTGGTCGAAATCTCCGGGGACCTCCACTGTGGCGTCATTCATAATCACATCGTAGTTTTCGGACGTTAAACCCCAGCCGTTATCATCAGTCGCTATCCGTAGGCGTACTCAGGGTTCCCGTTTAGGAGAGGGGGTGGCGGGAAAGCGAAGGCTCATCGCAGCGCCCTCTGCCTATTATGCCAATGTATATAAGGCTGACCTTGCGTCCCCCTCGCCTAGTCGCAGTGCCCCTCCTCCCTATTATGTCATTGTACGGGGCGGCCTTTACGCACACTTATCTAACTAAACAGAAGGGGGGGGGGGGGGCTCCCCCCTGCCCTGTCGTGCGCTCGCCAATGTCATTATGGCTTGACTCCATTTTCCCAATGGCGCAAGCGCTCCTGAGTTTTTTCTCTCTTTTCTTTATTGGTACTGAAATCAACTAGCAGACCCGCCGCGGTGGTCTAGTGGCTAAGGTACTCGGCTGCTGACCACGCAGGTCGCGGGTTCGAATCCCGGCCTGTGGCGTGCCTGCATTTCCGATGGAGGCGGGAATGTTGTCGGCCCGTGTGCTCAAGATTTGGGCGCACGTAAATGAACCCCAGGTGGTTGAAATTTCCCGGAGCCCTCCACTACGGCGTCCTCTCATATCATATGGTGGTTGTGGGAACGTAAACCCTACATATCAATCAAATCAATCGAAATCAACTAGCAAATATTACAGAGTGAGTAGCCTGATTTCCGGAGCAGCAACAGTATATAGTCGGAATCGCGCTGTACAAATGTTCGCTGTCGCTGATGGAATCGATTCTTGTGTAATTCGAACATGCACGGAAAATAATACCAAAACGCAAAGTGGCACAGAAAGAAGACCGTAGAGCTGCAGCCATGCTTCCAAGATAATTTTTCCCGAGGACTGTTCTCTGTCACGCAACGCAATCAGTTGGTCGCGGCAACGCTTGCACTCTCCGTCTGGTGATTATCGGGCGACGCCGCTGGTTTCGGTTTACCGGCGAAGACGTCCTGTACGAGATAAACGCGCGCTGTCGCAGGGCTGGCTGGCATCTCGAAGCTCGTGTACAGACTGATATTTCTTGAGACTCGTGCTTTCCGAACGTGAGAAATAACTGTCACCGTTAAAATGAAATTTTGCATCTTTACAGTTTTCTTTAACTGTAAAATGCAAGCATATAATCAGCTGTACATTGCAGTTGAGGCGAGAGATTTTCCCAGTAGATTGCACTTTGTTTCTTTTATTACGCAGCTGTAATCAATGTCAATATGTAATGACGATAAGAAGTCTCAACAGTTCCTTCAATGAAAAAATTGGCCTCGTATCTGCATGTTACCCTGCAAATGCCGTCGAAAGACGATAGTCTTGCGTCTGGAGAGAGGGAACAAGACGTTTATTTGATGACGATAGTTATAGCGCGAGAACAAAACGACGACACAGAAACAAGAAGGACACGAAAGACACGAGTGCTCACTTCCAACTGAGTTTATTGCGCAGAACACGAAAATATATAGAGGAGACAGTAACCATGTGATAAAAACCATATGGCACAAAGAGCAGAACATCAGTAAGAGAAAAAAAAACACAAAAACAAAAGCACTGAAAAACGGCAAAGAAAAATCTATAAGAAAACGAAACAGAAAGGTAAAGATAATATAACTACCTGCCCGCACCGAAACCTTCGAGTCGTGAGAAGAGTGCAGTCGTGGCCTTCACCAGAAAACCAATGTCTGCTTACGGCATATCAATTAACAGGCAGTTGGTGTCATGCAGCCGGCAGTTGGTGTCAGGCAGTTGGTGTCATGTTGTTCGCGCGCTATAACTATCGTCATGCCATACCAACTAGCCCAAGCTGCCACACTTCTAAGTTTATTTGATGTTCTGCGCAAGAAAATCGGTGAAGGGTATTCTGTAGGCGCTGCGTTTGAGTGCCTCGAGCGTGCAGCGGAGGCGAGCGAGCGCCTCAAGTCTCGTCACACGTGAGACGTGAGCTCTATCTGGCGGTTTACCTTGAAAACGAAGCCGCGGCGCACGGCGTGCGCGTCTGTCTCTGAGGTGATAAGGTATAGAACGCAAGGCGACGGGTAGGTGCCACCACCGTGTCGTCTTAGCAAAGCGTTGGAAACACTTGCCTTTTCGTGCAAGCATTGCATGGTCAGCGCAGCGTGATAAACGCTACGGTCCTGAGAATTACTTGTGTGTGCCCTTTCTAGTAAAAAAAATATACACACACAATATTGACGTATTGTTATGGTGCCTCAGATATGCGCAATAATTGTTTTTTTAATTGACAATCGCACAAGTATGAACGCT